TTTTTGAACACTAGTCTTCACTAGTAAATTTAATGATTTTGCCGATCTATGCATAAAAATCTGCACTATTGGTTTTTATTATAATACCTAATTAGTATATCGAAAACCCCAATGAAACGTAACAAAGTAATTTATGTAATACATCCCTAGATACAGCCAACGGTCATAAAACGGTTGACCGAAAATGACCGACCGTACCCACCTCTAGGTGGGTCATTTAGACCCGGGTCAAAATAGAATTACCCAAATATATAATTGCTTTTTTAAAATAGATTTCTTAATTATTGTGGCGAATTAAAATGAAATCAGGTTAAATAAATTTTGTAAATAATGTAAAAAATAGACAAGCTACCAAAAATACAAGTCTTGGCCAGCTTTATGAGTAGAATTTATAGTAGGTGGGTTTTAGAAGGCTAAATAAAAACTCCAAATTTTATTTTAATTCCGATTTCATTATGATCCGCGACAATAAATATTTGTAGACACAGGGCATTCTATAGATATCCATTAAATAACGAGAAAAGTATTTAGCTTAGTATGCATATGTCACGTCGTAATATAAATTAAAAAATGTATAGTCAACTCTATATAACGAACAGATCGTTCTTATAGTAATAACAATTCCTTCTAAAGTAATTTACTATATTTCTTTACTATACCGAAATCTATAAGTTTTTTTTAAAAAAGTTTGTTATTACGAGTCGATTGTATAATAAAAAAGATTTTTTCTAGAATATTTTTAATCAATTACACTAAGATTATCAATGCATCAAAGATATTGTTTAAAGTTCTCTTAAATATATTTATTTGAAAAACCAAAAATGCAAAAATAATACACGTTTATATGATTAAATATATATATATATATATTTTTTTTGTTTTCTAAACACGTTTAAAGTTCTTGTAAATTCCAAAAATATTTTAATCAGATGCACTTTCATAGTTCGTTTCTTTTGTGGGTTCAGTTTCTGTTTTTAACTGTCTCCTAAGTTCTAAATTTTCTTGAACTAGCCGTCGTCTACTTGCTCCTTCAGACCCTTTCCATTTAGAAAGTTTACTTCTTTCTTTTCTATCTGAGAGTTT